ACCCAAAGAAACAACGGGTGGAGAGGAGACCTAACCCTTCCTCTTAAAATGGCTCTAGTAGGAATGAGGATATATTCCCTAGACCTTATCACAGGTTCACCCTATTCTAGAATCATGTTTATTACGTCATTAGGGATGAAATATTTAACCCTAAATGATCCTATTAGTTCCTTTATGAATGGAGCCAATAAAATATGGAGAGAGAGTGAGAGAGAGAGAGAGAGAGTGAGTCAAAGAACAATTACATAATTTCTAAAGGTGTAGAAGGTTGAAGGTCGCAACAATGGGCGGAAGAAAAGAAACGAAAAAGAAAACCCTTTAAACAAAGGAAAAATGACGCCACGAAACAGCGCATGAAGCATTGAAGGATGTGTCATTTAATGCAAATGATATTTTTTTCCATTGAAAATAAAATTGCCTTTTTGTAAGAAATAAAGCAGACCATAAAAATCATATTAAATAAAATGAATGATTAATGCAAAGAATATCCCCCAACGTATGCTTTGAAGGTAAGTGGCTGGGTTTAGAATCTTTGATTGTGCTGAAAATAGTTGTTTGAAACAACTTTACCATGATTGAGCAAACAAAGGCTCGACCGAGCAGACTCAAGTTTAGATAAGAAAATTGACAAAAGACTTGATCAAATTAGAAAATTGATTAAAAGTGATTTGCTAGATGGAAAAACATTTTCGATCAAGGAAGGGTGTGCTGAGCAGAGCCTACTAAAGTATACTTAGAAAGAGATACTACATGATTAAAATTTAAATAAGAGTTTAATTAACTAGATTGTGGGTTGATTTGATATGTTGTATGAGTACGGGTACACAATCTGATAATTTATTTAGTACATGGTACAATGGACGTAACTTAGTTGATACATTATTTTAGGTCATGGTTTGCTTTGTACTTTATATAACATTATACATCCATATACTCATATATGACCAATAATTATTTTATATTTCTGACAAAATTCTAAAACAAATCACAATTCAAGATAATATACTGACCAACGATAATAATAAAAGCTAATTGTATATATATGTATTATGAAAAAAATTCAAATCATAAAAAAATAAAAATATGAGTTTAAAAAGCACAAACATAAAGAAGTAACACGTTAGAGTTATGATTAGGGGTTAAAAGTAATAATGTGGGATTACTTATATAATGAGCCAAATTGCGCTGATTTGAGTTATAATTTGGATTCAGGACTTTGAACAATCTAGATCGCGAACCCACTCTGTTTTGGGTCATGCAAACCTGATTCGTAAAAACGCTAGGTATTTCTACGATCCCGTTATATACTAGTTTAACTCTGTCCTTGAGTGATAAAGCCCTATCTGAACAAAATCGATAACTAGACTATCCTTAGAAATGTAAGGCGGTAGAAAAGATAAGCCCTTAGCGTTGATAAGGTGCATATTTTAAACATGTGACCCATAAAACTGACTAGTAAGATTGGAAATCGAATTGAACTATAAATCAAACATATGAAAAATTGGCTACATTCAAGGTATGTTATCTTATTCATACCAAGATTCTAAGCCGAACTTGGGTTATGTAATACTCCGTACTATAATTAAATAAGGATAATATCATCTTAAAAGTTATTCTAAGATAGATATAATGGTGGTAGATCTTTGAATCTTTGTTGAAAGATTGATCATGGAGTTTGAGTTTCTCATATATTGACTTTCGGGTCTAATTTAGTTTTGCAGGCATTAAAACTTGAGAAGGGTGGTTAGATAAGTTTCTGAATGTTGTTAGGTTAAAATAAGGCTACCATTGATTCCAAAAAGTCAAGAAACCTTGGGAGATATGATATGAAGTGTATTAAAAGTTTTGAAGTATTACAAAGTTAAAATGCATTTTAAAAAGAATTCAGATAAAATGGAATTTGACACTATCTCAGTGCTTTGACCATAACCTTTTATTTCAATATCCGATTAATCTGAGTTTTGGACATTAGAAACTAGACTTGAAGGGGCTATAAAAGTATATTTCATAAAATTTTTGTGAATCGACCTCTAACTATGTCAATACTTCTTTGGAAGTTCAGACATAAAATGAATCCCGTTTGAACATGAATGGATCAGTTTGAATGCTCTGTTTGATGAATTCTTTAATAAAAAATAGGAGATATTGGGAGCAAAGCCCGTTCAAACTCCAAAGAGTCTGTTTGAACATGCGTGCACGATTTTGTAAGATCAGGTCGTGCCGTCTGAACCTATTTTCACATTATATAAACTCTAGGGACATGTTTTAAGCTAGTTTAAGCTATTTTTCAACCCTATGAGGCTAAAGGAGGGTTGAGAGAACAGAAATGAGTAATATCTTGACGGATTAACACATAGAAATCAAATCAAAACGTGTTAGGATCATCTATTTGTGAATCAAGGTAAATATACTACTTTTAAATTCATTATTTGATGATTAGCGATATATAATTATATATATTTTCATCCTTATTATAGTATAAATAATAGACTTTACGTTCGTTAGAATATATGATTCATTTTTTGAATAAAATACATGATTTGCCTACGAGATCTATCCGTTCTTGATTTAAAAACTTAGTTATTGACTCATATTTTATATATGTGATAGATTTACAATATTTTTATATTTTTTTAATATACATTTAAATTGTCAAATAAACATATGATTTAATTTCAAATACATGTTTAAAATTCAAAAATCAATTGTTCTTGATTAAAATCCTATATTTTTAGTGTTATGAATATGAATATTTTTTTTTTTTAATGATCTCACTACAAGAAAAAGGGGCTTTTGCTTTGGCTTTTAGCTGAAGCAAAAAGGTCTTAGTGCCGAATACCTTTTTGCTTCTGCAAAGGGGCCGTAGTAAAAAGTTTTCAATGCAAAAAATTAGCTTCAATCAATTGTTAAAGTAAAAACTTATTGATTTTGGAAAATATCCCGAACAAAAATGTTGAAGCAAATAATTTTTTTTTGCTTCGGCATTTTGCTAATGCAAATAGTCATTTATTGCAAGTTTTGCTTTTGTCATTCTTTTGTTTTGAGAATTGGTGAATTGTGAATTGTGGAAATGATGAATTTTGTGAAAGTATGAAATTATCACTTTTAATCCCAACTGATAGCTTTAGTGGTAACATGAACAAACTGTAAATCTAGATATCCTGAGTTCAAGTCTTGCCAATTGTTTAGGGTCAGGTCATGAGAAATTTATCTCTCAAAAATACTCTAATTCCGGTGTGGATGGTTTGTTTTTGACCGATCTAGGGAGATGATTAGTAGAGGTACGCGTAAGTTGGTCCGAACGCTCTGATCATTGAGAAAAACAAAAAAAATTATCACTTTTTTATAGGTGAGTGTGATAAATGTGAATTTCACTCAAATGTATATCACAAAATGTTTAGATGTTTTTTCTTACTTCGAGAGATTTCAAGGTCACTCATTGTAGAATTGTTTGGCTCTTTGCGGAATTCAAGAATTTGCACTATTTGTTCATGGTAATTGAGGTTGGGGGTTAGTATACTAGTCCTGAGAATGTTTTGTCAATGTTGATGCGTCGATATATACACTTCTTATGGTATTGTGGCATTGCAAGAATTAATTGGATGGTTTTGTGATTGTGGTGCGGTGTGAACTAGATAGGTTTAGTATATAGATTCATGATAATCAACTTGTATACATGAAATATTATAATTTTATAAGTTATGGTTTGTGAATGAATATATCTTATTGTGAACTTTATTGTTTTATACCTTATCATACGATATTTTACAAACTGAGACTTACCTGTTTTCATGATTTCTAAATATTGTTTGGATTTGAGAAGGTTTTCTATTAGACTTGTTTACTCATCCTACAATATAAACTTTTTTTTGAAGAAGATATAACTCTAGATGAGTAGATAGATTGAGATGTTGTGGCAGATTATATTGTGGATCCGAAAAGTGAATGCTTATAGATGTTTTCTTTAGTTTATAAATTTTGCACTCTAATGATGAAACAATATTCTTAGTTTTTATTAATTAGTTGATTGGAGTATTATTACTTTACTTTTGGATGTAACTTTAAGGAGTTATTATGTGGATTTGTGATTTGTTTAGTTGTTTATTAGATGATGAATGATATTATTTTAATGATTCATTTAACATACTCTCATGATTGCTAAAAGTTAATATTTTATTGTGAATTTTGAAATGCGAAAGATTAACCTCTCAACTTGTCCTAATTTTAATCCCGCATTAAATTCGTCGAATCACTCCTCAAACCCAAACATTAGTAGATGTTAGCATATGACCTATACATGTTTTCAAGCTATTTTTAAAAGGGAAGAGTACTTTATCTCACTAAGAATAAATTGTATTTTGACCCTTTAAACTATGGACTCGATTTTACTTGGTCTCTTACACTAATGAAAATTTTACATTGTCTCTTGAACTATTTTAATTATTTCATATTATCTTAATCATAAACGTTCATTGTATTTTTGGATAAAAAATATTGACGTATCAGGACAAAATAAAAAACAAAAATACATAATTTAAGTGTCAAAATAAAATAATTTTTCGTTAAATATGTAACATACGTTATATATTTAAATCCTATGAAACAGATCTAATTTTTCAAACAAGGTTTAAAAAAGAAAATGTGTAAGGTGAAAGGCTCCTAAAGTGAAATTCAAAAAGCGCACGAACTTTCACGTATTAAATTTTAATCCCGCACCAATAACATTCACGCCATTCGATCTCTACCGCCCATTCTATCTCACAATCAACGTCCCACATCCTTGATCCGCGTCACTTAAAAAACCAACCAATCATAATCCACCACTGCACTACCAAAAATGGAAAAATCAAAGGACACGAAGGCAGTTCACATACTCAATCTCGAGCGTCCATTATGGAATCTAATCAACGGCTATCATCCACAATCCGCGTCATTCACAATCCACCAATCACAACAGCCCAAAACTCCTATATATTGAAAGCTACCCCCATCTTCTAAACACGCAGTTCCTATTATTATTCGATAGATTTTCGTCGTTCTCGCAAAGTACAGTCTCTCTATAGAAATGGCACCGAAGGCAGAGAAGAAACCGGCGGAGAAGAAGCCAGCGGCGGAGAAGGCGCCGGCCGAGAAAGCTCCGGCGGAGAAGGCACCTAAGGCAGGGAAGAAGCTGCCGAAGGATTCGTCGTCGGGGGCGGATAAAAAGAAGAAGAGGTCGAAGAAGGCGGTGGAGACCTACAAGATCTACATCTTCAAGGTCCTGAAGCAAGTCCACCCAGATATCGGAATTTCAAGCAAAGCCATGGGGATTATGAATAGTTTCATCAATGATATCTTCGAGAAGCTCGCTCAGGAGTCTTCGAGGCTCGCTAGGTACAACAAGAAGCCCACCATTACGTCTCGGGAGATTCAGACCGCTGTGAGACTTGTTCTTCCTGGTGAATTGGCTAAGCACGCTGTTTCTGAGGGGACTAAGGCGGTTACCAAGTTCACTAGCTCTTAGAAATTAGGGTTTGGTTTGTTGGTGAATTAGGGTTTCTCTTTGAATGTAAAGGCGTAGTGTTTCACAATCAAAATTGGGTTTGATCCTTTGACCTCTTATCAATGAAATTTCTTTTTTTGTGGTATTAATCCTTGGTCATTTTGTTTTGATTGCATGATTTCATTTGTTGAATTTGGAAAACAATTTCCAGGAGATTCGATGCACAGGTTTGCATTTTGAATTCCAGTGGCGCTGTTTAGCGAGCAGCACTCGAAGCCGATGTGTTATTATCATCGAGAATTGCTAGTTTGGGCCAATTATTCGTTTGATTTTCATCCTTTTTGGTTTGAGCGTTGAAATCGCATTGCATCTGATTTAATTTTCTCTTCCGCATATTAGTAAAATACTTTGACTTTGGGACTCTTTAACTTGTAAAGAAGGCGAAGGTATAGATTGTGTGCGTCATCTGTTTTATTCCTATATGGTGAAAGTATTCTGAACTGCCGTCCTCTACTACGGCTCTGTTTTTCTTGACCTGGAACTGGTCATACAAATCTGGTATAGGCTAGCAAGTTGATCAACTTTTCGCTAACGTGTGCGTCATGGGTTGACATAGGTCTTCTGTTGGCTCATCCTCATCCAAATTTTGAGCCTTTCTGCAAGACCAGATTTAATTTGAGTGGTAAAATTGAAAGATTTGATTTTTTTGTTTGGTTTTGTTTTGGTTGAGTATATGAGCTTGCCTTCAAGGCAGTACTCTGTTGGATGCCAAAAAGATCAAACAGGGTTGATGTCGGGCTTTGCCCTATGTTACTAACCTTAGTGTCCATTTATTGTTGTGGAAAAAACTCTTCAGATGCTCTTAGTCTTTTTAATCCTACCACTACCATGAGGACTCAAGGGGCCTCTCTCTCCGAATAGGATGATAACACATTCAGGTGTTTTATTTATATGCTCATGTTTTTTAACTTTTGCAGTGTGCCCTGTTTTGTCAGTGGTGTTGAAAAGCAGCCAAATGGTTGGTGTATTAAGCTTTTGTCTTTCAAGGTACACATGTATATTCACTTTGTTCACTCAATTTGCTGTAAGAATATCTTTTTGAGGCTTAATTTTAGACTATTGACTGGCTGCACAGCTTGAGGGTTTGCTGATTGTTGTTTTGCAAAATGATAAGTTATATGGAAAGATTTCATTCGGTTATTTATGTTTGTTACAGACTGTAACTGTGAAATATTAATTGTATTTTTATAATACTACTTTGTTATGGCAAATAGCTTTGGTTTGGTTCCCTTTTCTTGTTGTGTAGGACTGGACGTATCATTGTTAGAAGAAACTGTCGAAAGTATTAATTATAATTGAGCAGTTACGTTCTGGCCAATGTTTTATAAAATGATTGATTTATACCCAAAGATAAGTTTTGTTTGTCTATAGTTCCGGATTTATCATTCTTGTTGTGTGTGATAACTACAGATTCAATCCATATAGGTTTGAGTTATCGTACGGTTATATATATGTTTTAAATGAGAAAAATTGGAGATTGGTTATAATGCCCTGACCATATTTGCAATTCTCTACTTTGTTTCCCCATATTACCTAGTTTTAGATGCTGAATCTAAACCTAAGCCCCTTCCCTAAAAAGGTCTCTCTATCCTTATTTTACACTGCAATGATAATTAGATTGTGTAACCTAAAATGTTTGCCCACAACCTCTCATTTATTACTTAAATTTGGTATAGCTTCTCTGGTTGATATCAAAATATTTTTTTTTAATACGAAACATAACAATTTTATTGATTTAAAATAATAAAAATTGATACATTTAAAAGCACTATGGATAGACAAGATGTCCAACTTTAAATGAAAAATACAATTCTCAAATCGTAAAATTATGTATCACACGAGGCCTTCCAATTTGCCAAAATTCAAAAAAGCGGAATGCCATCAAACTCTTTGGTAACAGACGCCCTGATGCCAAAAAAATATGTGATCTCAAAAACCTTCTTTCCACTCTCTATTTTCAAAAATCCTAGTGTTTCTTTTCAACCATATTATCCATGGCAAGAAAAGCACAATGCCATAGAGTCATCACTCTTTTATGCCTCCCTAACCCCCCTCAATTTCCTCCACTAGCATTGTTGAAAATGTCCTAGGAATTAACCGGCACAACTTACAAGCCAATTGCATCAAATATTTTGGAATATAAGAACAAAGCAAGCAATAGGGAAATGCAAAAACAGATGATCAATAGTCTCACTTGCACTTGCCCACATGAACATGGTTCAAGGTCATGGTATTGATCATCGACTCGGAGAGTTCTGAGACATATTGGTCGCGGCACAGTATCGGATGATACGATCTAAATAAAAATGTTGAACATGATGAGAGATTCAAGTCATACTGCGGCATCACGGAACCGTATCGACCGATTCAATGATGATAATTTGGCAATTCGGGATTGACTCGGATATAACTCGACCGAGTTGTGCAAGACTCTGAATTTAGACGTATCGTATAACGGTATAAAGATGTCGAGTCGGATACAACTCGTATTGGTATCGGCTGATATTTTAAACCATGATATAAATATGTATCTTAGAAACTTATCTGCATGTACATACTGCTACCGGCAAATTCTTTTATACAAAGCTCAATGATATAAGGTTCATGTTGAACTGTTGAAGGTTTAATTCACATTTTATTAGCTAGTAAAAACTTTGTTCACTCCTGCAGTATCTAATCAAAGATTTAAAGTGTCAAGTATACACTAATGCTTGCATCTATGTACACCAAACTAATAAAAAACTTTAAGATATAGGAGATCACATGACTTCCTAGGTTGCTGCTTTAGTAATATTAATCTTCTGTTGGCTACATTCGTAATTGGCCTCTTCTTTTCTAAAGTGAACTATTGTTAAAACAAGCTCTCTAGACCTTTTATAAGTGTTCAACTTCTCCAACCTCCAAATTACTTTGTTCAGAAAAAAATTACTGTTCTGCGCTAGTAACTAATTAGGATTGCCTTGGTAAGCTCTTTGATTGACAAATAATTGTTGCTCAAGTAGTTCAAATATTTTGTGTTCTGATAATTAACTTGGTTTTAGCAGCTAGTAAAGGACAATCAAGCATGGGCATCAGGCGATACTGGAAGGCAGCAACTTGGTACAGGTGGCATTTGAGACAACTTCCTTGATTACATGTTTTGATTTCCTGGTGTACATGATGACTTTTACCAGGTGCGTCACTATTACTATTCCCCAGCTGCATCAATCTGTGGTTAGACAGTGGCAGATTTTATACTAGAAAAATTGTGAACTATGTTTTTTGGATGAGCCCAGTGGACATACTTATCCTGCTAGTGTTTATTCCTCATTTTATGCAAGATTGGTCCATTAATTCATTAACCAATGTATTCTGTGTTAACACATTAACTTTGCAGTGGGTCTTAGTAAATATAATAAATTTCTTGTTGTTCAATATTCAATAATCAATCCTCTTTGAGAGAAATTATTGCTGGATGAAATCTTGTGATTATGTTCCTGTCATCCTTAATTACATTTTGGCCTTCCAAAAATGGCTTTACACTGGATAAGGGACAGAGTATGTAGCAACTTCATATTGAAAGTAGAACTGTTGCAACTTAAATTTTCTTGGGGTATCACCAAGTTACTCTTTTTTCAGGTTACACTGGGCCAAAGTTGGGGTCCGTCCCACAACACCCAAACACTCACCCCATGACTCCAAATGGGCTAGAACACCTGACACTAGTAGCACAAGGGCAAGCAAGCCTTGGCAGGTCTGATTAATCTATCCACATCTCGGTATTTAATGGGTTTATTAGATGTCTAGTTCCTATTTCTATTTCTGTTCTGTGGTATAGGAGTTCCCATTTTTGCTAGTTTCTGGGGCACCTTGGACAAATCAACCATCAGTTGTTCCAAACCTTTTCCAAAGCAAATTCATAACAAATGGAGGAGTTGAAAATTCTACTTCTGCACCTTAGTATTGGGAGTTGTGATGGTTTTTTGAAACCCAGTGGATCTTGCTCCTTTTAAACCAAGCGTTCTTCCACTCTTCCATCCTTATGCTACACAGAGCTATCTAGTCAAGGAAGGTAGGGCTTGAACTATATGTAGTCTCATGAGCCCAAGGGCTAGGCAAAGGGCTTTTAACATGTTGGTTGATGGGCTCTCCCAGATGGGCTGCACACGTTTATTAACATTTTCTTGGGTTACGAATGTGTCAACCTTAATCACTTTTACACTGTATGCGTGTGCGCGTGTGCGTGTGCGTGTGCGTGTGTGTGTTTTTTTTTTTTGGCGCACATTTAATCCCTCCAGACCTCGCAATGGCGAAAATCTTGTGCACCGGTTTCACCTTTTTAGCAGAGGCTGCAAATAGTTTTGCTTCTATCAATATTTTGTTTTCACCTATTGAGGGGTTGGGGGGAGAGGAATGAACTCAAGTTTTGTGCCCAAATACCCTTGGGAATTGGCTCAAGTTGGACTCGTCAATTTGGGTTTTGATTTTTCTTTGGTCATCAAGTATTATATTTTTTTGGTTGTCAATCTGGGTTATGGGGTTTTTTTTTTTGGGTCTGATTCTGGGTTAAGGTTGAGTAGACTCAAAATGGATTACTTTTTGTTTGGACGTTTAGGAGGATATCCAATTCTTTTGCGGTCGAATTCCCTCTTGTCATAGATGAGGTCACCTCACACACTCTGTTTATACCTCCAGCTTAGTGAATCTTTGGTGGCAGGTCAAGACCAACTGGTCCACCTTGAGATGGACCTGTAATGCATCAACTATGGTCCATTTGCGATAATTTTGGCCATGCCCAAGAATGGTGGTGGACCAAGGCGTAGGTGAGGGAGTAGTCTTCACCCCTAATCACTTAAAAAAGAATCTGTCCACCTCCATTAGTAGGACAAGCTTTAGTTCCCATCCCTATCTTGCGGGTAAATTTTGATCTTCAGTCTCCGACTTAACCTCCGTCCTTATCTGGCTTTTGTCCAAGCCCATTACAATTAATTTTTATGATTTTAAGAAAAAAAAATTATAACAATTAAAGTACAAGTTATATCACATGATTTGATCAAAATCAAAAACAAAAAAAAAGTTAATAACATAATCCTTGCATAATTAAGTAAAAAGAACAACAATAATAAAGACGTTATATATGTATGCCTTTCTCGACGTTTTGATTCTCTTGAATTAGGACTGAGGACTCTTAAATTCTAATAGAGATATAAGTTTATATAATAGAGATACAACGAATTTAATGGAGCGAGACAAAGATAAGTTGTGGTCCATATTGTATCCATCTTGGCACAAATTTATAACGGTATTATCATATATATCTATCGTTTAATACGTATAATCCGTTCCCAATTCAAACGGGCTGGATTTTGATGAATCCTTATTTTTCTCCGGCCATCCCATGCCTAAACTAATTAGTTGAGCACCCCTCTTCGTCTCTCTCTCTCTCTCTCTCACACACACACACTCGCACAAACCTGCACACGTGTACACTTAGGTGTTTGTAATTTGTTAGAGAAAGATGGCACCTATTATCATGCCGGTTGAAGAACTATATTAGGTGAGATCTAGATGACTTGGGAGAAAGGGTGGAAGAAGATCCGACACAAGTAGAGTAAATTATGGGTCAGTTGGACATTTTTATACCTTCCAAGCTTGCAAAAAAGGATAAACTGTTCTAGGGAAATTAAAATGTCCTTGCTCTTCATTCATCAAGTGTGATTGGCAAACTCAATGTCATGTGTAAATGTTTTTTTATGTATAAATTTCCGTTGATTTTGATTTAAATAATTTGTAACCATTAATTAGAAAAATCATAAACTAAAAAAAAATCACAAGGTAAAAGAATTTTACACATGACACTTTTTATTGATGAAAAATAGAGATATAATACCATAAATTAGTGTTTCGGTACCGATAATGACTTTATGATTTTGTCTCAAGGCCCCTTTATCTTGTCATATGTTGACAATTACTCTATTATCAACGTAAGGTTGTTTTATTCTTATATGGGTGCCACAGGTTTACGTTAAAGGAATATTTTCGTTGCACTCGGAGGTTAACCTATGTATATCTGACTCTAATCATATTTAGTAGTGATAAGAGCCTAATGCACTGGATTATTCACACACCCACACACATTGATGGCGAATAATTGCCTAAATTAAGTGGCCTTTGAACTCGCGGATCTAGATCTCCTCAAATATATGCTTTGGTTAATTTCTATCCTCTATTGTTGAGGACCACTCATACACAGTTGATTACATTTAAAATCCTGAAGATGTTTTATCGTTGATGAAAATTGAAAAATAATGTAATAGGGAGTATTCAAATCTTTGGACTCACGCTTCCAACCAATGGCGGAGTTGCCCTTGGGCAAGGTGGTCCATGACCACCCTCAATTTTGGAAAAAAAATATCATATATATTGTATGTAAACATATGTGTGTGTAAACTCACTTACACATTCCTTCATTTCGTGTCAATTTTATTACTTTCGTATATATACTTATTCTTAAATAGCTAGGAATAAATAACAGACACGCTTTGTTTGTTTACGTTTGAATAAGTTTTTGAGATGTTGATGATCAATTTATAATATTTCTTTTAAAAATTAAGTCATACTTGATGAGTAATACAAGTGGGGTCATTTCCTTAAGTACATGACTTGAAAAGACAAACAATTTGGAGTTAATGGTCATACATTAGTTGACAAAAATAAGGGTAGTCCCGAAGACTTTCATTATTATGTGGTTTAGAAAGAATAAGATTATTCTCACTATAAACACAATATTAAATAAATAAATATACATATATATAGACATAGAATCTTGCGTTTCTTGATTAGGGGAGATTAGTTAGTGCTTGAACTAAAAGTGTCTAACTAAGAACAACTTCCTGACTCCGTCCCTCGTTATAACCAAATATTGTTGGATGCAATTACTCATAAACCATGCAAGTTAGGCTAAGTAGAGGGTGAATCAAACTTTGGTTTGTATTTCTTTAGTTGCAACTGAATACTCATAAGAGATCAAGTGAGGAGGGGAAAAAGGGAGGGGGGGGGGGGGGGCAGGTTTCATCAGGAGAACACATAACATGTGCATCATGTGAAACTAGCAGTTGATAAAATTGTTTGGTTGCCCCAATTTGGACACTACCCTTGTGTCGGAATCTTAGTTTGATCATTGCTTTTACAACCAAAGAAGAAAAACCAAGACATTGTCTACTGGCTTTTTGATATTGTGAATGATATGTCCCTTCGCCAGAACCAGAGCTGTGACTAAACAATACCTACTACTACTTGGCATGGACACCCACCAAATGAAGAAAAACAAGACATCCTTTGGTGGCTTTTTTGGTGTGAGAATGATGAACTAGACATGGTAATGCTCCAATGAGATTATGTGAAAGTATATATGTAATTTTTTTTTTAAATGGCAGATGACCTATTCTCGCTTTCAGTGACAACCATTATTTTTTCATTGGTTCCTATCCATACACGTAGTCGATTTATCATTGAGAAAAGTTAAGAAAAATATAGAAAAGGTAGGTGTGAGTAATTTTAACAAGAGTTGTCAGCAAATATGCACTCGACATTGAAGTAGTTGTAGAGTCGGGGGTGGAGGCAGGGTTGGGCAGGGGGAAAAATTTTTAAATTATAATTTTGAAAACTTTTAAGGTTAGTTTAAAATTATAATAAAATTTAAATTTTCTAATAAATTGCCACCACTCATTTTTTTTAATGAAATAAAAACTTAGACTCAAGGTTCCTTTATATATATATTTAATCTCACAATTTTTTCTCTAGAGTCTCTAGTTATCTCTAATCATTCTGTAATGATTCACTTAAGTTATTGAATTAATCCATCTCCGAATTTGATTACTAAGATATAGATTAATATTTTTGATCTATTATCCAAGTTCGAATATACTATATCATATTATAAGATTTTAGATTTTTGGGCATAAAAAAATTTGACCTAATTATGATTCAATTTAATATGCATACACTAATACGTATATGTAAACATTTGATAAAACTAAAAAATGAAATTGAATTAAAATTACAATGCGACACACACACACACATATAAATATATAAATAAATATTTAATGAATTCGAATATGGATTATATAAATGAAATTGAGTTTTCAAGACAAATTGTTATTCATATGAGTCGAAATGTTATCATTGACAAGTCCACTCGCAAAATGATATGTCAAAATAACATTTTCAATGAAATTGTCTTTATTTTAGTATTTTATACAAAAAAAATTATATTAATTTTTCTTAGTCAAGTCCTATTATTTTTCACGTGAATTTATATGTGAAATCTTTGAAAATAATAAAAAAAAATAATATGAAGAATTATTTTATAAAGTGTGTTAGATTAGGAATATTTTTTTTTTATAGAGAATGAAATTTTTAGAAAACAATCATGCTCATTAGATGTAACGAACTATGATAATTATTGTGTAGTCGTTCTCTTTAACTTGATGATTGCCTTCATTGAAAAGAGACTCTGGCTCTGCCCCTGCGTAGAGTTAACTAGCTCATGACAGGAATTCGAAAATCACATTATTCACTACTATAATACTAGATAAGCTAAGTTGGTTTGAAAAAAGAATAATTTAATTTTGACATGACAAATTCATTTAATAATTATTGTTTGAAGAAAAATATTCGGTTTTATTTTTCATTGTTTTTTTCATTTCTTCATCTGGTATTGTGTGAAACATTGCAAAATTTTTGTAAGTGGTTTTGCTTGTACGTGGATCGAATTAATTTTTAGGTTATTAGGGAATTTTCAGTTATGAGTTTGATTAAAAGAGAAAGATGTTCTAGTCATTGCGCTTCGGTTTATAGATTGTGCGAGTCAACTTAAAATTGACACAATTAATAAACTAATTGAGTTAATATCAGGTCATCTAATACCATTAATTAAATAATTAGTGTTAGGATTAACCACTACTTTTCAGGAATATTAAATTTGCATGAATTAAATAATGACACGACACGATTGAATTGCAAACAACATATCAAAGAGATTTGAATCCGACAATCTATCTAATATTATATCTAAAAAGTCAAATTCTCATTAATTCAAACATACCTCTCTCTCTCTCTCTCTCTCTCTCTCTCTCTCTCTCTCTCCCTCTTATTTTCTCTTCAATTA